GAAATAAAATAATGAGTTCAACCTTAAATATTATGGTATAAACGCCATTGCACTGATACACACAAAAAAAGGAAGAATAAGAACAAATAGCCTTTCATAGCAAATTATGAGCGAATTTAGAATATTAGATTAAAAGATCTTTTTGAGAGGCATTGATGCGAGTTTGTTCTGTGCTTTCAGTTCGGTGATTCAATGATCCTTTCCTTATGAAACATTAAGATCAAAATCGTTCCATGAAACAATCCACAAATTGGCGAAAGCTTTTCTTCTTGCGAATTTGGAATTGTTGTCATACAATTTCAATTATAGTAAAAGTAAAGATACTTTCAGAAAAATTTGTACGGAAAGTAATAGAATATCGCACCTGTTCTGCTTTGCGCTTCGAGTTCCTCCGAGTTTATCGAAGATGAATTCTCAGAACGATTTAGGGCACTATGATTAGCAGTTCTCTTTGAAACTTTGTTTGAATTTTCCATGGAGCATGGAACCTTATCCATTCCTGCAGGCTCATTTGTGTTTGAAGATGCTACTTCACAAATGCTATTCTCCAACGTCGTTGTTTGTTGTACCAAAGGCAAATCAAAATATGTAGATTCGCTAGAAGTGTCACAAAATTCTCCCAAAACCACTGCGGAGTCGTCTTTGTTCCGTAAGTTTGTAAATCTGTTAGATTCGCAGTACTGTTGATTTTCCATATCTGTTAGCATTCTGGTTTCTGCTACACTTTGTTGCTCTTCCGCTTTCACTATCTGATGTTTTCCATAATTATAAGCCAAAGCTGTTTGAGACTTGGTTTTCTCTTCAATGGCTTTAAAGACGTTTTCTTCGCCATTCCTTTTGAAAATTTTTGATGAAGTACTCGTTTCTGAATATTTTGTTGATGCATCCTGCTTATCCGCTTTTGAAAATGAAATTTCTTCTGACTCATCGCGTTTCCTCATCTTTGATAGCGTCTTTCTTTCTTCAAAACTCGTGCCTGTTAGCTCTGCGTCTCTCAAAGATGTGCTTGCGGAAGATTTTTTATCTTCTGCGTTAAGTCTCGATAACACTGATGTTTCTGAATATTCGACCTGCTCCGTAAATGATACAGACTTCTTGTTCTTTACTGCATACTTCCGCTTACTTACATTATGAGAGCTTTTTGTGTCTATGATAGCTTCTAAAGGAGGTGTCTTTCTAGAAAATTCTGCATTAAGGGTGCATTCATGGTAGCTTATTTGAACGACTTCTAGATCTTGTCGAGCACAGTCTTTACTTCCACTGGATTCGGGTTTTACTAGGTTAGCCTCCAATCTTCTTTCTTCATAGGAGACTACATCTGCAGAGGACGATTTCTCCACAATTTCTTGGCTCTGACTTTGTAAATTTCTCTCGTTTTCCTCTGCAGTCTTCATCGCTTCATCAGTCTCGTGGGCTACTTCCATAGAACCATCCTCAACCTTCATATACCGCTTAAGATCAGATTTGTTTTTGGATTCAGGCGCTTTTACCGTCTTCACTTCTTTAGGTTCTCCTTCAAGGCTGGTTGCTGGATGCTCATCTTTTTGAAAGTCGATATCCACATCTTCTTC